GATAGCTGTTTCCTTCAAAAATAACAAAATCGCCGTCATTTGTGACCTCACCTCCGATTTCTCTGGAAGGATGACATTTTATACAACTAAAAAAGAAAAATAAATGACTACTTGATTCGGTCCAAATCAAAGAGCCGCGGCATCGGTCGACGTTTTACTTTGTGGTTCCGATCAGCATCCTTCAAGAATGTACATCACAATAAAATCAGAAAGATATCACACAATTAGATTACCGTTCTTAGTGCTCCCCGCATGCGATTGTAGTCGATACGTGGAACGATTCGCAAATTAACTTTACTCTGGGCAACGTCGACCCAATCTACCTACATAAGACGTGTCAAGACACCAGGAGAAAAAAAAAAAACTTAAAATAAATACCTGCGCAAGATCATCCTTGTACATAGTTCGCTTAAGTCGAACATAAGAGTTTACTTTCAATTGTGGAATATCTTTGACTACTCTCAAAGTGTCAACCATTTCTTTGATGGGGACCATCTGTAAATGGCTTGCGCATAAAAAAAAATATTATCTATCCTCAAACGTCATACCGTAACGTTGAACTGATTCAGCGCTGATACACCATTTATAGCGTTGGCCACATGAGATTGTTTGAAGGCTTCGATGTAAATTATGCCTTTCAGCCCTTCTTTTACCACGACCGATTTTATTTGCAACGGCTGAATATGGATTTTGTGACGAGCGAACAAAGCAGTAATAATTGACTCGATACCTCATTAGAATTTTCAAACGCCAAGAACTTTCTCATCAACTGGAGCGCGACAAGCTTTTCTTCACCCATTCTGCACTTCACGATCCACAGGTTAGGGTCCTTAGTTGACGGAAGGAGTCCATGTTGTGAGATGTCATCTAAACTCTTTACTCAGTTTGGCACGAAGTAGGAAACAGATAAAGGTGGTGCATTATATATACCGGTGAAGATCAAATTCATAAAATTAGCGCTAAACAAGTTACTTGACTAAAAATCGCTAAACTCCTCTCATAAGAAATTATACGTTTGAAAGATAAAAATACACATAGCTTTTTTCGTATATACGTAGGGTGCACAGTGAGACAATTTCTGTTTTTAAATTTCCTAGATGAGATGCCCATACATGTAGCTTGAAAAGCGTAGTTCTCTAGTAAAAAATGACGAACATGACCCTTGAATTATGAGATCAACGTTGTAATGTAACCAACCGAGA